GTCCGTATATCAAAAGAAAAGGGTAAATTTGAAAAAGGTTATTTACCAAACTATACTGACGAGCTTTTTCTTATACATACAACTAACGACGCACGTACGCCTATAACATATAGGTTAAAAGATTTTGAAGACAACCTAATTGAAGGAATATTCTATAGAGAAGAGTTGGTGCCCACGCAAGAGGATACTACTCATCGTATTGCCGAAATTTTAAAGACTCGTACAACACGTACAGGGATAAAGCAACACTTTGTGCGTTGGGTTGGTTATAAAGATATTCATAACAGCTGGGTAAACGACAGCGACATAGTTCGACATTAACCATGGATTCGTTTTATGTTGTTTTACCTTCAAATTCTGAAGATGTTGAAGGAAATACTACCTCAAAGTTTACAGTAAGGATGCCTGACACACTTGAGTTAGATTCAAGTTGGACTGTTGCACTTTCAAACATTATTTATCCGTTTTCATTCTCTTTACTTGGAGATTCCGAAGAACAAGAATCTATTACAATTTATCGCCGATATGGAAAGGAACTTCTATCTGTTCTGTCGCTGAAGAAACGAAAACGGGGTTGCGGCGCGACAGGTGTGAAACCGCAAATTGTTGTCGGGATTGAATTAGATTGTCCCGGGTAGGTCCCCTCAATTCTTCAAAGATGATCCGCTCTCGAGGGCGAGTGGATGGAACCAAAGCTCTATTGGCGAGCTAGAAATAATGCCTAAGGACGGCAATTGGAGGAATACCAAACAATAGAATAAGAACAAATAAATTAAATATATTTATTCAAAAAGGACCTCAAACTTAAACTTGGGTAATTAAACCATAAAATAAAATGAGTGAAATAAAAAACTTAAGTTTGGCCAAAAAGTTAAAAGTAAATTAAATGGATTAAAGGCCAAAACCTAAGTTGGAAAAAACTATATAAAGCGCAGGTGGGGAAAGAATGTAAACAAGTGAAGGAGAAAAAACACAGAGAATAAATAGAGCTAAAATTAGCTAAAAACTTAATGAATAAATAAAATGATTGAATAAGCATAGGAGAAATGATCAGAAATGGGGTTAGCACAAAAGGGTGTGGCTAACAAAAGATATGGGCAACTGGTACAAACGGTTAAATAATAAGACGGTGCAATAGATCGCCAATAAATTAATCAAAAATATTTAAATCAATTCTGGCAAACGTCGCTTCAGCGACACTGGGGCGCCGGCCACTAGCAGCGAGCATGCCATCATCTGAGTGCCCATTGTTGCAGCAAAGCATATTGATTCTCCAATGCCTATTGAGTTCTCTGTGGGTTCTCCTTTTACTGGACTCAGGCAGTAGGTATTCTTCCCCTTGATTTTGGTTGCAAAGAGAGAGTCACATAGATCGGATAGGAGTTTGAAATAAAGCGGAGAAGATTGAAAAAATGGATTGGATCGCGGCGAACATGATTTTAACGTGCGTGATAATCCAATAGATAAGAGTAGAAGGAATGGAAGTCCCGGTCCTGATAAAGTTCCAGAATTGACGGGAGCATTCCGCTTTATTGAACAGTTGCCGGCGCAGCATAATTCTAAATTGGCGAATTCGCTGGGGCTGATTATTTTAACTCCTTCCTTAGTACATGAAATTTGACACTTTGGGCATGTCATGTTAATTTTGGGCGATCCAAAACAGAAGATTAATAATGCCATGCATAGTAGGGTAGACACGAGTGCTCTTGATTTGCTCCTCGTTATCATTCGATGTCCGGCGTTAGTCTTTGGGTCCCGCATGGAAGTTTCTTGAGTTCCTTCGGTAGCGGTATCGACTTGAGGTGGGACAATAAACTCTTGTTCAGTTGGTTTTATTTCTAGAGGGTACACGCTATTGACTGGACGCGTGACAGTGTTGCCATTTTGCGGTTTTATTTTTACTCTCCTGGTTGCTCCAGGTTTCCCTCCTAATTTGACGATACGTCTCATGGGCCATAGAATCCTTGGGGTAGATTTTTCTTCTAGAATTCCTATTTCTTCAATCCTAGGGGCGGATTGGGTTCCCAGTCTCATTCCTTTATGGGCGGTTTGAGTCCTGGACTGAAGTAGAATAAGTCGAGCTAATGATGGACGCTCGACTTGTTGCACCTCTGGTTTGAGAGGAAGTAAACCATTCTGGGCGGTTTCTATTGGGTAGCGCTCAATCTCGTTTAGATTTTGCTGTTGCGCAATATTTATAAGCATAGAGCCAGCGGTTAGATAATCATTTGCTGAGAATGCGGAGTTTTCTCTACTAGTTGCTTGAGAAATAGAGAGAAGCTCCGGGCGGCGATTCTTAATAAGCAAAGAAGGTTCGCGGCCAGGTTTGATGAATTTAGATTTTAGAAAACGAAGACCCCAAATGGTAGTTCTTATTTTATCCCATGAATTAAATCTCCCATTATCAATTAGGGTGTTGGGTAGTTGAGACTCAGCGGTGGAGTCGTTTGTATGGAATTTAAAACTTAATCCGTCGGGCCACTCATTTACATATTTTGAGAGCCGGGTGGGGCCGTGCCACCATAATGGATTAGATTGAAATTCTGGGGTATATTTTCCCCTCGTAAAGTTGGTTAAGTTCTTGATTCCCTTTGTGCAGTTTGCTATAAAGGTCGGTTGGTGGTCCACACCTTGAAGCCAGCTAAGGGCAATGGTTGAGTCACTCCAAATTAAGGATTTATCTATTTCCCGGTGTAACTCCTTTTGGATTAATTTGGTCGCTCTAAATCCCGTTAAAATTCTTAGTAGTTCTAATCCCGGTATAGTGAGTTTTGAGGTTGCTTTTAGTGGGCGCAAACGATTTTTGGAGAAAACCAAGGTGGTTAGCTTCTTTGGAAGGTGATGCCTAATGACGGCAGAGAGAATGTAAGGAGAGCTAATAATCCCAAAGGCGATTCCTTTGAATCGATCGGCAGCTATGTTGGACGGCGAAAGAGGTTGGTCCAGGTTTTTAAGCCATAAGAATTTACAGAATTCTCGATCAGATTCGATTGGTGAAATTTGATGACAGGCCTTTTCGATGTCGGCCCAAGCGGGGATATTGGTTTCCCGGAAGATGAGTAATTGGTTCATTAAATTGGCGAGTGAAACTGGTCCTCTAAAGAGTGATTGGTTGATTGAGGGAAGTCCTTTTAGATGAGCGATTGCATCGTATAATAGGCGGATTTTCCCTTTATTTAATACTGCATGGTGTGGAAGGATCTGTTCCTGTGCGTTTGGGTTGCACTGTTCTGTTTCAATTACTCCCCGTTCAAGTTGGTCCTCTATTGGGTCATGGTATTCCTGGGCTATTGTGGACGCCCCTTCTATTCGGTTAGGTACTGAAGATAGGCATTTGGCAGCCATATCAAAATTGGGAGGTAATTGTGAAGGAGGTCCCGGAGTTCCTTTTGGCGATCTCGAAGGAAGTCCCAATGTATATCTCCCATCCGGTTCCTGATTGATGGACTGTTTGACTAATCTATTGGCGATTTCGTCGTCCTTATTTTTGGGGTTGTCTGTAGTCCCCATAGACTCAAGGTTCCAAAATTGCTCTATTTTGTTGCTCGCAGGCATTTCTTCCGGTGAGCTGTGCACGGCGGCAAGAGAAATGCAGGTTAGAGAGGTAGGTGAAATATAGTGGGGCATTTCACCGCAGAGCATCGAACCAAATTGAGTTTTGATGATATGTAGATTTCTTCCTATTTTCCTGGATCCGAGGAAGAATCTCCAGAATTCTCTAACTCCTAGTAGAATTTCTGGTTCCCTATTCTTGACGGGAATATTTTTCAACTCTCGGTGGTTAGTCGGGATCCGAGTTCCATCCCATTGAATACAAGGAAATGCAGGGACGATTTGCGGAATCGAGCAAAATACAGCTTCTTCCCATCTCCCATTGGGCTTATGGAGCCTAATCTTGTGTCTTGTTGAGCGAAATTTGACTTTATCGGCGCCAAAAACGCGTACTGAGTGATTGGAGGTTGAAACCCTCGGTGGTCTTAAACGGTCGACCAAAGATTGAGAAATGTAGGAAGTTTGGGAGCCGGTGTCCCAGAGACCAACAGTAGTGTAGATTGGTCGGTTATTCCCAGAACTTATTTTTAAATTGCAGGTCATCAAAAAGGTGTGCGGTTTTGACTCAGTGGCGGTCATAGCCATTTCAGGGTTGGCGGGAACATTCTGGTTTGTTCCGGGTTGATTTTCGGAATTCATTCGCGAATTTGTATAAATTTGAGGTGGTCGGTGAGTCAGACCATTAACCGGTGAAAGGTTTTCATTCCCTCGAAAAGAATTATTTTTCTGCTTAGTTGGGTGACTAATTTTTCTTTTGTATTGCTTCCCTTTTTGGCGGGTGCAGATAATAAAGTGGTGCTTGCCGCCGCAGTTCCTACATCTTTTGGTCGATGTACACTGCCCGATTTTATGTCCTTCGCGTAAACAATTCAAACACCTGCGTTGAGCCTGCAAGCGGGTTTTGCGGCTTTCGGGTGTTTGGAATTTGCGGCAAACTGAAGGGAGGTGATCTCCAGTACAAAGTGAGCATTGGCCGACATTCCTTTCAATGGCTGTGAATGTGCGGGTAAAGTTGGATGATGGCGAATGTGCTGGCCGGTGACTCTTTGATTGGCGAGTCGGCTGACTATATTCCCTTTGAATGGACGGGACTCTCAATCTCTTTGTGCAAATTTCCACTTCCTCTCTTATTGCTACTTGTTCTAAAAAGAAATTCCTAAGTTCCTTATGTGTCCAGTCTCCGGCTGGTGAACTTCGTTCCCTCTCTATTATTTTTTCAATAAGAGTGGAAGGAAGTTTGGCCTTAATTGTGGTGACTAGTAGGGACGCGTCTTCTTTTGTGCTGAAATTGCATTCTAATTGTCTGCAAATTCTTTCTATGTTATCGCAAAAGGTGCGAAGCGAATCAGCGGTGTCCTTTGTTGGTGGTAATTGAAGAAGCTCTGATTGGAGAGTTTCTCTGAGGTTCCGGGTACTACCATATCTTCCTTTTAAACATTCCACTATAATCGGGTAATTTTCGGCAATTCTCGGGTATCCTTGGATGGTCGATTCCGCTGATCCCATGAGTGAATTGCATAAATGGTGGACTTTGAGCGCGTCTGGGATGTTTGGATTGTCATGGATGGCCAACTCAAAACATTGCCAAAAACTGGTCCATTTTTCGGGTTCCCCAGAAAATTTCGGTATTTCCATAGGAGCGATTTTGAAAGAGTCGTAAGCTGGATTTCGAGGTAATTCCTCTTGGTATGTTCGCTGGGAAGGATGCGAATGTCGGGATTGAATAGAAGCGCTCCGTGATCTAGTCCTGGACTGGAGATTGCCGGAAGTGCTCTCCCGCTCGACTATTTCATCGATTGTGTCGATGATGGCCTGGGCGTCCGCGACCCATTCAGTAAAGTGCCGGTAATCTTCTAGTAGGGGGTCATTTGGTCCCGGGCGTTGGAAGTCCTCATAAATTCTTTCCTCCGCCGGTAGGTTTTCCGGGTCTATTTGGCGCATAAAATCCTGCCATTCCCCATTTAACTTATCAATTCTTACGGTATTGGTGTTCAACTGCTTCCTGAGGTTGCGGAGCCGTTGTAGCTGTTGTTCCTCTAACACCTCTTGTTGGGCGGTGATGATGTTGGTTGCTTCATTGAGGTTGGTTTTGAGTTGTCTGATGGCTGGGACGATCATTCGGCGGATTGGTCCCGAAGACATGATGGTAGAAATAAGGTTGATTTGTAGAAATTAGACGGTTGACTTGCCGAGTAGTGTAGAATGTAGGATTGTGATGGAAGTGGGAAGTTCTGATGTTGAAGATCTAATTGGTCGATCTGTAGAAAGTAGAACTGATGAGTCGAATTGAAGTGTCGACAGAAGTAGTGTTGAGCTGGCTGGAAGTTGCCTGGAGGGATGAAAAACAGAAGAAAAAATTTAATTTAATTTAATTGAAATTGAATGAAGAGAAGAAGGGGATCCCGGGTCGTGGCACCAAAAAATTTGTCGCTGAAGAAACGAAAACGGGGTTGCGGCGCGACAGGTGTGAAACCGCAAATTGTTGTCGGGATTGAATTAGATTGTCCCGGGTAGGTCCCCTCAATTCTTCAAAGATGATCCGCTCTCGAGGGCGAGTGGATGGAACCAAAGCTCTATTGGCGAGCTAGAAATAATGCCTAAGGACGGCAATTGGAGGAATACCAAACAATAGAATAAGAACAAATAAATTAAATATATTTATTCAAAAAGGACCTCAAACTTAAACTTGGGTAATTAAACCATAAAATAAAATGAGTGAAATAAAAAACTTAAGTTTGGCCAAAAAGTTAAAAGTAAATTAAATGGATTAAAGGCCAAAACCTAAGTTGGAAAAAACTATATAAAGCGCAGGTGGGGAAAGAATGTAAACAAGTGAAGGAGAAAAAACACAGAGAATAAATAGAGCTAAAATTAGCTAAAAACTTAATGAATAAATAAAATGATTGAATAAGCATAGGAGAAATGATCAGAAATGGGGTTAGCACAAAAGGGTGTGGCTAACAAAAGATATGGGCAACTGGTACAAACGGTTAAATAATAAGACGGTGCAATAGATCGCCAATAAATTAATCAAAAATATTTAAATCAATTCTGGCAAACGTCGCTTCAGCGACATGTTCGAATCGAGATACCTGATTTGTCTTTTGCCTCAGAAGAGGCATTAGAAGAGGCCATAAATGCAGTTTTGCTTGATGCTTGGAAAAAAGAATTGGATCGCGAGGGAGAGGAAATGAGACTTGAAGAAAATAAAAAAAGAATCTATGGAAATTTTCGTAAAAGACGAGCTGTTGAGACTATAAGCGAACAATTAGTTAAAAATGGGTATTTTGATTTGTCAAAGGAAATTTCATTTAATTTCATGAAATTTTTAGGAAAACAAGGAATTCGTTTACCGCCTATAAACCCTCATGCAATAGATGGTATAGAAATGGTTCGTTTCACTCCAAATCACGATCAAATAGAGCTGATCAAACAAGCACTTGACGAATTTACTAATCCTCCCTCAGCCAATCAAAATGAAGAACACGCGACTGTTACTCCTATCGAAGAAACCATTGAATCTACTCCGCAAACACAGCCCGAAGTTGAACAAAAAGAAAAATTGCCTACTGCCGAGTATGAGAGTTTCATTCAACAATTGGAAACGGAAGGTTACTTTGATATGCCAAAAGATCGAGCTTATAAATTTATTCAATATTTAAATAAAGAAATTAAGGGGGCAAAACTTCCAGTTCTATCTTCAATTCCGGAAAGCTCTGTTGTTCGATTAAAGCCGCAAACTGAGCAAAAAGATATAATAATAAATGCAATTAAAAGTTTTGCATCACCTTCCCCATTAGAAAATACTTTACACAAAGCAAGTTTAGTGGAAAATGTTGATGAAATTCCTGAAACGCCTGCTCCCTCTCAAGTTCATGTTAAAAATCAAATTAATGAAAAAACAGAAAGTTTGCCTACATCTGATCGTTCTATAACTGATGATCCTCCTATCCCAAAGTCTCCAGTAACACCTGTATCAGAAAGTTTTGCATCACCTTCTCCATCTGAAACTAAACCTGAAAATCCTTTACAAGAAGCAAGTTTAGTGGAAAAGGTTTATGAAAATCATGAAACAGATACACCTGCTCCTTCTCAAGTTCAAGTTAAAAATCAAATTAATGAAAAAACAGAAATTTTGCCTACATCTGATAGTTCTATAACTGATGATCCTCCTATTCCAAAGTCTCCAGTAACACCTGTATCAGAAGCTCCTACTGAAGCTCCAGTATCTTCTGAAGAAAAATCGGATGATATACAACAGGATACTGAAAATCAAAATGACAAAACTTCTTTAAACGGAAAGATAACACCTCTTTCTGATACACTAACAGATGAACAAAAAACTTTGATAGATATGGCTGTTCGTGCGGCTACAAGGTCATTGACTAATAGTGTAGAATTGGCAAAGCAACAATCACAACTAAATAAAGATCTTAATCAGAAATATTGGAAAGATGCTCGTTATAAGTATGCACTACTAGATGAAGAGGTAACATTAAATGAGACGGGGGTAACTAAGAGAAAAGTACCTGCAACCATTCTAAAATTGGTAGTAACACAATTAAAATTATTGTTTAGTCGAAGAAATGAAATAGATAAATGGATACAAGAATGTTTAGATGCAAAAGATAGGGTTTCAGAAGCACAAATAGAAACTGTAGCGGCAGAATCGCGAGGCGATGTTACTGAGGCACGAAAAGCTGCAGATCGTGCTAAGGCCGCAGAACAAAAGGTTAAAGAATTAGCCAGTCAAGTTGAAGAAGCTGTTGCGGGTCAGAAAATTTTATCTGAAGAAATTGTAGGCAAAGTTGAAGTTGAATTTTCGAAACAAGACTTTGAAACTTCATCAGCAAAAATAACAACTCCTGATGATGAAGAGACTTCGACACATGAAGAGGAAAATAATGAAAGTCAAGTCGAACATGAAGAAGAGCCTAAAGGACCGACTGAAGATATGCAAGAAAATAGTAAACAGCCTTCTACACATGAAGAGGAAAATAGTGCGGAAACGGACTCAACTGATGACATCTCTGAAGAGCCATCTGAATATACACAAGAAAAGGATGAAGAACCTTCAGCACCTGCAGAAGAGGAAAATGCTGACGAAGATCATGAACAGGAAGTCGCTGAAGAAACTTTTGCCGATACTCAAGAAAAGGATGCAGATCCTTCGACAATTGTAGAAGATGAAAATATTGAACATCAAAAACATGAAAAAGAAGTCGCTGATGAAACTTCTGAAGAAATAATGGAAAATGTTCAAGAGTCTACAACACACGAAGATGAGAAAAATATTGAACCTCGTGAGGAAATTGAACAAGAAGTCGCTGAGGAGCATGTAGAATTTTCTAAAGAAAAGATTCAGGAATTTCCAGGAGTTGATGATGAAGATGAAGAGCCTTGGACTCCCCCCTTAGAAGAGCCTGTACCACATTCAATGGACACTGTAGAACCATGGTCCCCTGAAAAAGAAGGCTTAGGAAAGCCACAGGAATCTCCGGCAATAATTAATGAGGAAGTGGCTGAAAAAGTGAGTAATCTTCCCACTATTGAAGAAGAACCAGAACAAGTAGCAATTCAACCTGAGGATCTAAGCTCGTTGCCTGAGCTCCCGCATCCTGAAATGTTAATTGCTGACCCTCCTGAACGTCCTTCCTTTTGGAAAAGCTTCTTTGGTGGTGGAGGTAGGCATGTTGAAGATAAAACCAAAGACAAAGAACTTCCACAACAAGAAAATTTTCATCCGCAAAAAGAATCTGAAGAGTTGGATGATTCGGAGCCTAAAAAATTACATCTAGCTGAATATGCTTATCCTCCTGAATATTTAAAAATGCTTCTTAGTTTCTCCAATATACAACTCGCTGATCCAAAATATCAATGGGTTTCCATACTATACGATAAAGTGCATAAGCGATTTCATGTCTTCTTGCAAGGAAACGTACAATTTATTAAATTAAGTCGTCAACTAGCTTATACTCTTGGTTTCGATTCAGAGAAGGTTCATAGTGGACAAGTCGCAAAGTATATGCCTGATATATCTGGAGGTGTGCGTCAATTTTTAGTTTATGCACCAAAACTTGTTGAAAATAGCATAATAGGTAACGTAACTGCACCTTTATTACGTGTTGTTAATGTATCTGGTGAACCTGGAGAAAGTGTTTCAGAAGTATATATGACCGAACATCATCATCGTTTATTAGGTAAACGCCATCCAGACATTACTATTGAAATTCGAACCTTAACTGGAAAACTAGTAAAATTCCATTGGGGAACTTGTATATTAACATTACACTTTCAACGCTCACTATTTTAAAGCATGACACACGTTAGTTTAGACATAGATAAAATTGACTGGGAGCCATTTTTGAGTGCTCAAGACGGAGGAGGAAGATTACTTGAAGATAATCGTTATTTCCAAGGAACTAGGTATCAAAGAGGATTTGGTGTACTTGGGGCTGTAGGGCGTTTTTTAATGCCTATTGTTAAAAATATAGCCACAACGGCGGGAAATGAGGCTGTAAATGTAGGAAAAAATATTCTCGAAGATGTTTCACAAGGTCGCTCAGTAAGTGAAGCATTGAAACAGCATGGAAGCGAAGGTCTTCAAAAAGTAGGAAAAAAACTAGAACAATGTGGGAAAGGCAAAAGAAGCCGAAAGAAAAAACAAAATGTTATTATAGATAATTTAGGAAAGAAACGTAGACGATATAGAGACCAACTCAGCTTTGATGATTTCTGAGTATATAAGTATTAGTATATTATTATTATTCTATAATTAAAATGACGACAATAAAGAAAATTGATAAAGACAGTACTGAAGGGGTTGATAATCGACTAACTTTCTTTAGTATACCATCAACAAATGTTGGTATTCAACGGTCCGCATACAAAGAATTGCTTCCCCTCAATGCACTTAATCAATCTGCAGGTCCTTTTATTTTCCGGTATTTTGGTGACTCACTTTACTTAGATTTGAGTAAGACATATCTGAGTCTTGTATTATCTCTTGAACGTAAAGTTGATGCAACTGGCGAATGGGTGCCTATGGCTCCTATACAACTCATCTAATCGTTAACTCATCTACTCGTTAACTCATCTACACGGCCAAAAAGGGTTAACTCATCTAATCGTTAACTCATCTACTCGTTAACTCATCTACACGGCCAAAAAGGGTTAACTCATCTAATCTTTAACTCATCTACACGGCCAAAAAGGGTCAACTCATCCAATCCTTCGGAACGAGACTATTGAGTACCGGCCGTTTGAGTCCATGGCCAGTAGAGTACCGCCGGTTGAGACTCAACTGGTCATGGACTCAACTGGTCATGGAATCAACTAGCCATGGAATCAACTGGTCATGGACTCAACTTACCAGAGACTCAGACGGCCAGAGACTCAGACGGCCAGAGACTCAAACGGCCAGAGACTCAGACGGCCAGAGACTCAGACGGCCAGAGACTCAAACGGCCGGAGACTCAGACGGCCAAAGACTCAAACGGCCGGTACTCAATAGTCTCGTTCCGAAGGATTGGATGAGTTGACCCTTTTTGGCCGTGTAGATGAGTTAAGGATTAGATGAGTTAACGATTAGATGAGTTAACCCTTTTTGGCCGTGTAGATGAGTTAACGAGTAGATGAGTTAACGATTAGATGAGTTTACCCTTTTTGGCCGTGTAGATGAGTTAAGGAATTTTAGCCGTTTAGATGAGTTGAACGTTTTTGGCCGTGTAGATGAGTTAACGAGTAGATGAGTTAACCGGACACGGGTGCCTATTGTTAAAGACTTGGCAGGGAATTTTGCAGGTGATAGTTTTACTAGTGTAGCTCAATATTTAGGTTTAACATGGATTCGTCGTTTAACTTTATCTATTAATGGTATTCAATGCTATGACTCAGGAATACATTACGCATACAGATGTCTACTTCTTCATGAACTTGGAGCAGATCGTGAGGTTAGCAAAGGTCTCTATGAGGCTGCACTTTATTATAAAGATGCAGTTGACAAAAACGATTTTGAAGGTTCAGGGTTTAAATCACGAGCAGCAAGATTTGCCAAAGGTCAGACTTGCAGATTACTGTCGCATTTGGACTATGATATGGCCAGACAAAATCAGCTTTTAATACCTAATAGTGATGTGCTCTGGACATTTTACAGAAATAGCGATGAATTCCTTATTCATGCACCAAAATATCGTAAAAAAGCTGGTGAAGATTTATTAAATAATACAAGCACATACCGCCTACGACTTCATGATATGAGAATTTTTGTTAAACAAGTTGATTTAAGTATGTCGCTAAATAATGCTATTGCTAGACATTTAGAACAGACGCCTGCAAAATATGCATATAGAAAGATTGAAATTCGGAGCGTTTTTTTTGGAAAAGGTCGCCAGGAAATTACACATGCTGCGTTCACTAGTACATGTCCTAGACGGTTAGTGATTTGTTTTGTAAGCGCACCTGCATATACTGGAAATACTGCGTTGTCTCCGTTCAATTTTGAGCATGCAAATTTGCGAACTGTTTCAGCAGAATTTGGTGGGTTCCAGTTTCCAGCTGTTCCTTATGAGCCTGATTTTTCCAACGACAGCTTTGTACGTGCTTTTGTTGATATGTATGTGGGTATGGACTTAGATGCTTGGCCAAATTCAGATCAAAGAACTTTAAGCATAGGAATGAAAGAATTTGCGCAATCGTCTTGTTTCTTTGTTATACCTATGACTTCAACGTTTGAGGATACCAATGGGCTGGAACTCATTAGACAAGGAACAACAACCGTTCGTTGTATGTTCAATCAGCCTGTAAAGGATGAGGGATATGAAATGATAATCATGGGCGAATTCGATGCAATAATGTCCATAAATGCAGATCGTGTGCTGAGCACTGATGGTTCTGTTTAAAATGAATTCTCTCCAAATCGAAAATCTACTTAAAAAATATAAACCTCTAAAAAATAAGTTTATTGGTGTCTTTTCTTCTGACAATATCCCAAATAAAAAATGGACTAAGCCTTTTTGTTTTATTGTAAATAATATGCGTAAAGGGACAGTTGGTGAACATTGGGTTGCTTGTTATTCTGATAATCCGAGTACTGTGGAATACTTTGACTCTTTTGCAGATGAACCGAATTGTGACATGAGACAATCTATGCTTGGTAATTTTTCAAAAGTAAAACAAAATAAATTTCCTTTGCAATCCCCTCTATCAGATACCTGTGGCCATTATTGTATTTATTTTTTAATATTGCGTTCAAAGAATAATTTTTCATCAACACTACAAAAATTGCATTCAATTCCCCCAGAAGCCCGTGACGCTTTATTAAAACGATTTGTACAATACCTTTCGTATATAAGATAAGGGTTAATATTGTAATTTAATTACTAAAATGAAATTTTCAATTTTAATATTATTTTCATTTGTTTGTGTGATATTATCTCAAAATGACAGTAATATCCTATTTCCATTGCACGGCCCGATTCCTCCGAATGTAAATGCTTGTTTTGCGATTGACGGAGGACATGCCCTTTCTATTGGTCCTGCTATATCTCCAAACAAAGATATACTGCTCGTCTTAGCTTATATTTTGGATTTGGGTTTATTATTTGTCCTGGCTGTATTATTTAGACTACATACAAATATTCGTAAAAAAGGAAATGATGGGATGACAAGTATTCGGTTTGCTAAAGGCCCTCTTAGTATATAAGAGCAATATTTATTTATTACAAAATAGTTTGCCATGCGTACTAGCGACAACATGCCTGAATCTATTAGTTCTTCACCTCAAGTTCAATTAACACCACTTATTCAAATACTTTGTCGTTTCAATGGAGGATGTGCCCCAGAATCACTTCATCGCGAACTACGAAAAAAATATAATGAAAATATTAATTACTTGCAGACTCTTACAAGCTTGACTAATGAAGATGTTGCAATATCGGGGATTGGTCAAAGGAATTTTACTGAACCTAGAAAGAAAGCTCTAATTACAAATCATCTAAAGCACCAACAGATGGAAATATATCCGTGCAAGTTAACGAAGATGGGGGCTGATCAGATATTTGCTCTGCGAGGATACTTACGTGTTACAATAAGACAATATTTCTATGTTCGTCACCGAATTGATCTTGCATATCCACAATTACCACTTATTTGTGTTGCTGGAGGAAGAAGACATCAATATTTTTACCCAATTGAATGTATAGATGTATTGGAAGCAGTAGAACAAACAGAAAATTTATGAAAATATATAAGTGATATGTTTTATTTTCTCATAATTGTTAATAAAAAATGTTTAATAAAATTATTTTTATTTTTATATTTGGGTATGTGTACTGTGAATATCGAAGAATATGGAAAGTCGAGGAAGCTAAAGTATCCTTATTTCGACGAACGCACAAACCCAGCACCTTCCAACATGTTTTACATTTACCCCCTCAACCAAATTTTACAAATATAACTTGGACCCCGACTGGTCATGTATGGTTTATTTACGATGAGGAAAAGAAAGAATGGAAACAGGTATACAGACCAACGTTTACAGTAGTGTACCACGAACCAAGTGTGTTTTCTTCAGCTTGGTTATTTGTAAAAGAGACATGCTCAGATATCGTTGTTGCTGTAAAATCATTTGTCATTGAATCGGCTAAACTTACATTTTACCTAGGTCGGAAACTAATTCCTATATAGAATAATAACCCCGCCATTGATATACGTTAAAAATAAAAAATACAAAAAATAATAAAAATAAAAAAAACAATAAAATTCTAAAATCCAAAAAAAAATAAAAAATCTAAAAACCATAAAAATATTATTTTTAACTTTAAAATATCATATAATTTTTTATATAATATAATTTATTCTCAAACTTATTTTTATTTTATTTTTAATAATTTTAAAGATTTTTACATAGCGATTTTTTAATTTTAGTAATAATTTCATGAGAGAGATGAATTGTGATAACATTTATTTGTATAATGTTTATTTTATTCACCCATAGATATACAAGAAATCATATTACTTTAAAATAAATGTTTGTGATAAATCGTATTTAATACAACGAAAATTGGAAGATAGTGCTGTTAAACTTGACTATCAAAGTATTGGAAAATAACAAAAAATATAAAAACAAGATTTTAACAATAAAATATTTTTTCATTCCTTCTACATAATTTTCGCGCTTGCTTTTAGGAAAATTTTAAGTAAAACTAATTTTCTTCTAATTACTCTTTACTTAAAAAGGAGAAATGCTTTGTATTTAAAAAAATCTCTCAAACATGCAAGAATTTACAAATAAAACATTTTTCCATTTTATTTTATATAATTGCTTTGCGCTTTCCTATTTTGAATAGAATTAAAGACATGATTATTGTTGGCAATTATCTTTTTTTCCAATTTTCAAGGCAAGTATTTCAGGAAAAATTGTAAAAGATCAAAATAACTAAAAGTTAAATTCTTTTTTTGAAAAAATAGATAAACATAGCTGAAGTTTTTTCTTAATCATTTAAACTTTAAATTAAAAAAATTTTAAATTAATTAAATAAATTTTATAAATTTATGAAGTATTTTATGCTCGTTCGAATGAGCTATAAATAATCCAAATCGGATTTGTATTCGAGATGCCACAATGTTTTTAATCGTATAAGTGCCAAATAATTACATACTGAATTACATATCTTCGGTATGTAATTTATTTCAGGGGAAAACATTTTTATTTAGTAAATATAAAAAATTATTTAAATAAAAATATTTTAGCTAATTTGAATAAAAATTTCTTGCTTATAAAATATATATAAATAAAATTATTTACAACTTAAAATTTTTACATTTTAATCATGATTTTTAAAAAGACTAAAAAATTTATAAAAAATCTATTTAAAGAATACAATAATTCTTTTGAGATGCTCAAAAATAATTGTTTTTTCAAAAAATAAAAATGTAAAGATTTTATAGTTAATTGCTTGTCTTTCTAATAAAAAAGTGGGTAATTACTTTGCGCAAAAAAAATTTTTTGGAAGACTTGAAAAATATTTTTTGACTTTGTGGTAATTATAATGCGGTGGAATAAAAAACTTTAGGAAAAATAAATAAAATACTATGGAAAAATATGTAGAAAAAATAAATTTAAAAAATTATTTAAAGTTCGAAATTTTTTCGAATAATTAGTAAAAGTATTGGCTGTGATTCTTTAAAATTTTTACTACGTTTTTAAAACACTTTTTCGAAAAATTTTTTGAAAAGTGTTTTAAAAATGGAGTATATACTACTAGTATCCGTGTGCTAGTCTGGTTACAGGTTCCTCTTTATTTATTAAGTCAGCTCGAGTCGGTCCCGTAGTTGACGTATTATCGAGATTTTTAAAAGTTGATTTGGTTACTAGGTGAGCGTTACTAGCGGTGCTTGGAAATTTCAGATTTGCTCGTACTTCGTACCACCCCTATTTTTGGCCTCGTACCTGCCTATTTTCGGTCAGAATGATTCGACAATAATAGACCGTCCCCATAATCAAGACAGACCCTCCCTATAAGATAAACGTTGTTTCAGCCCCAAGGGTGTATTTACAATGAAGGTCCAGCTAAAAAATTTTAAATTAATTTTTTAAACAGACTGATTCGACATTAAATTAAAAATACATAATATATATGTATATTTAGACATTAATAAGAAAGCTTTAAAAAAGATTAAAATAACTAGATAAATTTTTTAAAAATTTTTGAACATAATAAAACAAATACTTTTGGACGGAAAGTTAAAAAAAATAAAACTGGCTAGCGGCACAAATTAAAAAAATATATTGGAGGGAGAATTAAGAATAATTTAATTATAATTTTTAAGTGTTTAAAAATAATTAATTTATTGTATTGGAGAAAAGGGGAAGAAAATAAGGAGAAAAAGTTAAGTAACCAAAATTAAAAATTATTTTGTGGGGATTTTTTGGACAGTTAATGAATGATAAGGAGAGTATACACCAAAAAAAAAGGATTTGAAAAATAAAAACAAATACCGTAAATATCCCAATCGGAGTGGGACGGGTTGAGAAGAAAAATCAGGCCTGGCTTCGGGTCGAGAAAATTTTTGGGTAATTTTTTAGTAGGATCGAGCAAAGTCTGGGTTTAGTAAACGATCTTTCCATACCCGATCCTAATGAAAGCCCAAAACGTTAATCTTTTAACGGATCCAGGTAGTGGGTTTCTAATTAAACATGAGTCGTCTTTACTTACAAAATTAGTTATATGGAAGGATATTTGAAAGGAAAAGGACATTTACGTTTGAAAGGGCATTTAAAGACATTTAATGAAACTTCTGAAAGGACATTTACGATTTACAGTGGAATCTCTCTATAACGACACCTCGTTCCACCTTTTGCTTACAAGAAAAGTGGGTGTGAGTAAAATCAAATAGGGTTAAAAACTTATCGGGATAGAATTTGGCCCATTCTGTGCCCATCGGAACATAATTTGGCTAACATAAGAAACCAATGTTGGGGGGGGGGGGGGGGGGGTATCGTTATATCGAGTGTGTACAGTAATGGGAAAAGGAAAAAAAATTTGAAAGAAAAATTACAAAACTCAAAAAATTGAGTAAATTTAGATAGAATCTTAAAAAACACTCAGGGAAAAATATATACAGCTCGAAAAAAAATTTTTTAAACAAAATAAAGTTACCTCTCTACCTTACCAGGGATGGGACGGGTTGAGAAATAAGTCGGGTCGTGTTTCGGGTCGAAAGAAAACACAAGATTTTGGGTATCGGGTTTCCAATAACCCGTCCTAGAGCTGTCCGAGACTCTTGGTCTTGAGTCTTGACTCACAACTTTTCTTGGGTTCTTTTCGGTCTTGGTTTTGGGTCTTAAGTCTTGGTCTTGGATCTCGGACAGCTCTAACTAGTCCCATCCCTGCTAGCTACCCTCTCAGAGTTGAGTAATGCTCGTTTTCTTAAAGTTGATAAAATTGCTAAATTTCAATAGGGAAAGGATGTGCTTCAGTATTAAAGACCCATTTATCTAACGATATTTTATTTGAATCGCTAAATGTTAAAAATAAATATTTGAGTGTTTCAGCCAAGAAAAATGATTGTTGGACATCATCTTGGTCGACCTTTAAAAAAATTTGTATTTTAAAATAAATAAAAATTATTTTTGTTTGATCTTGCTTATAACACTTGGAGGTATTGCTTAAAAAGGCAGCTCCCAGCTCCCCCAATCTAATAATTAACCAGTTTAAGAAAATGAGAGTTAGTAGAGGGATTAACGGTAGTAGCAGGGATCGCACCGACATAAAAACAAAATTCCCTATTAAGGGAATCAGGAATTCGCGACCCAAAAAACGTCGCGAATTCCCAATTTTTGGGAATTGGGATTAGGGTAGCACCCCGAGGCTTCGGGGGTGGACGACGGGGATAGGGGTTTGTCGGGGTAGAGCCTTCGAGGTTCGGGTCGGGGTTTTTGCCTAAAAATTCATCGGTGGCGGGATGCTACCCTAGAATAAACTGTTAGTCTAACCCTTGACAGTTCATCCATAAACCAAATAAAAAATCCGCGAACCCAAAAATCAACCACAAAAAAAATAAATTATTTTACCGGTAAAGAATAAACATTCCTAATGCCCGTATATCCAGCTGTTGCTCTACAATGCCTTTCTAATGCTTCAACAACTTCCCAACACCAATCTCTATATTGTTGTTTACCCGTTACTCTCCACAAATAAAACCATCCTTCCACAGCTTCTGGACGAAGAATGTAATAAGATTCATGGACACGGACAGCTTTAGCTTCAATATCTGATGCAAAACGGAAAGATTCTGGGCCAAGTTTTGTGACTTGAAAAAAGAAAAAATGAGGAGAAATTTTGAGATAAGAGGTGGAATCTGAAGGAAATTAGAAGAACCCAAAATTTGAAAAAAATTATTTCTCAAGTCCTAATTAAGGCTGTAGGTAGGAAAAATTTCAAAGAAAGGCAGGAAACATGCCGACACAAAAAATAAATTCATGATTTTTGGGACAATAATTCCAGAATATTTTTCCATTCATGATTATGAGAATTGGGATTTCCAGACCCAAAAATAACAAATTTCTGATTTTCGGGAAGAAGAACGAAAGGTAATTTTGAACGTGACAGACCCCCTTTTTTCCTCCCCAATTTTCAGCCTATATTTTTTAGAAATGGTCAGACTTTTTCCTTTCTTCCATCCAATTTGCCTTTTTAATTTTTGCCTGCAAACAAACAAAAAGGATTATAAAAAGGAGGAGTACTTGATTGCTGGCAAATATAGAAAGGCAATTGGGATAGGAGAAGGGAAAAAGTCTGACCATTCTGTAAAAATATAGGGGGAAAACTTGGGAGGAAAAAAGGGGGTCTGTCACGTTCAATATTACCGAACGAAATGCCCCCTAACAGCCCAAAGACGGTTAATAACGCGATTTCTTTTTATTGATTTATTTCTCATCTTGGGGCGGCATGGTTTTACAAGTTTTGAATTCTGGAAAATATCTATCTTGGAAAATTTTTCTAAATAAAAACTACTCATCATATTCATAAACAGAATGAAGATCCGAAAAAGGCAGGATATACGGAAAATTTCGGTTCGGATATCGGATCCGAATATCCGGGGATTTTCAACTATTCCACAACCTTAATGAAGAACTCAACTTTAAAAAAGGAAACGGAAGAAAAATTTTTTAAAATATAAACTTGTTCTATTGTACGATTCATGACAAGTTTCTCCAATTTTTTCAGCCAATTCTAAATAATGTGCTCGTTGATTAATATCAGTTTCGTGTAATGATTGGAGTGCAAACATTCCAGCAGTAAAACAAGCCTTAAAAATTAAATTGAAATTTATCTCTTAATAAACGCTAATTGCCTCATAGACAAATAAAGTAAACTATAAAAATATTTTCATTATCCCACAACCTTAATGAAGACAGAAATATTTTCATTAGAACACACCTTATACTAAAGAGAAAAGTAAAGTTTATCCCCGGGCAGGAATTGACCTTGAAACCTTATTCTGGCTGTTTTTCACACACCAAGTATATGTGTTCAACCGACTGTTTTCACCTTCTCTTTTAAAATAATTGTTAATCCCCACGCCTAATAAATGCTTTAAATGAGAACTAGTTGAAACCAGGGATGTCACGGGTTACCCGATACCCGGCCTTTTTTTCGACCCGATACCCGACCCGAGTTTTTTCAAAATTTTCGCCCGCGTCGCAGAAACAGGGAAGATTTTTAGCTTAATGATCCTCCAAAATTCTGAAAATTTTCGCCTGCGGCGCTGAAAAAGGGACTTTTTTCGACCCGAAACCCGATCCGAGAAAAATTTTGGAAACCCGATCCGAAACCCGACCCGACATTTTTCTCAACCCGTGACATCCCTGGTTGAAACCCTGTAGAAAATGAAGAACTTCACCCTTCAACTAATAATAAAATCGAAGCGTATTGGTTCGAGTTCCAGTTTTCCTGTAAAAGCACAGGTTCCAAATCCAGACAAAATTTCAGTTCCGAGGTGGCCTTAACTTATGGTTCTAACTAGGGTTGCCGCTTTCGAACCGGGCCGACGTTCGAGTCATTTTTTCGGGCCTCATTCTTATCGAACCGGGCACCGAGTCTTTTTCGGGCCAAAATTCGATGCCCGCTTCGATCTATCGAACCGAACGGGCCGGCAACCCCATTCTTAACAGAAAACTATCCCTCTAACATCACCCAAAAGTATATTTCCCCCCTCACTTAAATTTAAAAACTAAAGAAAACCTTCAACCAATTTTTCTCACCAAATGATCCATTTTATGTTCAATTCTCGTTCCTTTCATTTCAGCAAAATACCAAAGATTACTAGGCTTTGATTTAAATAAAAGTTTATTTTCTATTGCCAAAATTGCATTTTTATAAGTTTCCCATAATTTATTGTCACGTTTTTCGTCAAATAGCCTTTAGAAAATTTCAAAAAAAAATTTTTCAAAATTTTTAAAAAATACCAGACTTTAAGTAAATACTCATAAAAAGAGTCGCCTAATGCTCCAACAGAAATGTGTTCTGAAAAAAATTTTTTTTTAATTTAATAATTGAAGAACAAAATATTACTTTGACACCATTTACCAGTATTTGGATTTAAGTAATTCTGAAAAAAAAATTTTTTTAACAAAAATTTAACGGGAGAAAAATAGAGAAAAACACAGAAAAACGTAAAATTAAAATCAAAAAAAATTTGTGTGTGTTTATCAGTTTCAACAATAAGGGAAAAAATTGGAAAATAAAAACAGCACAAAGATTAGGGACGTTGCTACGCAGGTTGCTCCCAAATTCGTAATTCGACCTAGCTATGATTATGAGTAATCGAAATATTGAAGAAAGATTTTTGGTAGGTCTTTGTCTGAATTATTATGGCAAAAGCATAATTGGGGAGCAGGCCAACGTATCGCAAGCCCAACGTACTGAGACGCCTTGGTATGGTTCAATGCATCTCGATGAGCTGAATCAAATCATATCAGGGCGTCACGGATTCTGCCGTTTTGAACGAAGTTATAGCTCTGTGGTGCGTTGGCCTCGCGGTATGTTGGGGTGTACCCGCATGAATCATAAATCCCGTCCCATCTTTTGCTAGTTTATTCAGCCGATTATTTTTATCTATTATAGGATTTCCCATTCCCATAAAAATAGGAAAAATAAATCTTCCATAAGAAAGAAAGCCAAAAGAACCCCAAAAATCATAAATTAAATTAAAAAAATATACCGGATAAAGCCCATCAGGTTTTTCCAATTTATTAACATATTCTCTCAATTTTCTACATTTTAACAAATAAGTATCATTTCCAGTAATTTTAGACAAAAAAGAAAATTCCAATTCAATTGAACCAAATTCAGATAAAATAGAACAACCCCCACTTGCCCAATTATAATTTGTTGCTTTCCCCGTTTGGACATTAATTAAAGCTAATGGAATAATGGAATTTGGAATTTGGGATTCTATGGATAAATTCTATGGAAGGAAATGGGAGATGGAGATAAAAAAGACGGGGATGAAAGTTTTAGAGTTTCAAACTTAAAATAGCCAAACTAGCCTAGATGGAAGTTAGTTTTTACTTTCATCACTCATTTTTCAAAAATCAAAAATGCCCATCTTTTAAACATAAATTTAGATTTAACACCTCTCTCAAGTTTTCCCCTAGGAATATTTTCAACTAAAACTTTTTATACTATAAAATATTCTCCAAACGACTATTGTCCGTCTAAATGACCATTAGAAATTTGTAAATATAGGGTTAGCTTTATAGTTTACTTCCCCTCCATTAAGAAGAGAGAGAGGTAAGCATGGTTTCTGCGGAACCTCTTGGTGCTAAACGACGCTAGCTGCTTAGCTCGTACAGGTGCTCTACCGATTGAGCTATCCAACCGGAACACTGCTTTCCCTTTCTCTTAACAGATCTTAAACCTCCGTTTGTATACTTCATTGGTACTTTTACCAATTCTTCCTCTTCCAATCATATCTTCAACCTCATCCCCTTTGCATCCTTTTTCTTCCATTCTCCTCTCTTCCTTGATTACTTCCTCCCTTCCCTGATTACTTCCTCACTTCCTTCCCTTTAACTTCCTTCATTTTCTTCTCCCTTCTCTTAACCTCCTCCCTCTCTACTTCCTTTTCCACATTCCCTTCTCTTCCTTTTATCAAATCGAATTTTTCTTCAATCATCGCCTTTCCATCTTTCACATACCCTAAAGGCTTATTTAACACACCCGCCACAACCAATAATCATCTCGTGCTAAACGACGCAATTTGTGTGTGGCGATGAAAGGTTAGAAGACAATAAAAATTGGAGGGAAAGGAAGGAATGGTTTGGTTGGTGGTGGTCAACAACCTCCTACCCCCCCCCCTCCAGACATTATAGAAATATTTATTTATTAGTAGCGAATATTTAGAAGAAAGAAAGAAATTTAGATCACAAAACAATTTAAAAAAAAGAAAATATAAAAATTGATGGGTGCGAAGAATGAATGTGATAAAAGAGAAGGAACCCCCAAAATTTTTATCAATAAAATTAAAAATAGGGTAAAGAATTTAATACTTAATGAATTATTAGAATAAGTATGTTTGAGCAAGATTATCTAAATTGAATTTTATGATGGTGAGCCTGATCCTTGACCAGCTAGTTGGTCATTGGCGAGTTGGTCCTTAGTGATTTGGTAATTCCGTGACTTGTCGTTCTGTGAATTGTCCATTCAGCGACTTGTCCGTACCGTAGATTGTCCGTGCCGTAAATTGTCCGTTCTGTGAGTCCGTTCCGCGAATTGTCGTTCCGTGAATTGTCCGTTCAGCGACTTGTCCTTTCCGTGAGTTAGCCTGACACGACATAAAGTTGTCCGTAACTAATTTAAAAAATATTTAAAAATAAAATATTTAAAATTAATTTAAAATTAGGGAAATGGGTGAAGAATTAAAAATGATTTGGGAGGATTTTAAATAATTTAATTTAAAAAAATTGCGCAAGAGAAAATTAAAAATTATTAATTAATTGTAATCAATCAAAAATAAATATAAATTTTATTTAAACGTAAATAAAATTTTTAAAATTCTTTTTTTAATTGTTAAAAAATATGAAATGGATCATTCGAAAAAATATTTTTTAATTATTTTTTCTTCTGAGTTCTGATTTTCTAAAATTTGTTCTGATCTTTTAAGTTAAATTCTTATTATTATTCTGATTTTTTAAATTTAATTCTGATGGATTACACCCCAATACAAATAACCTCAAAAAAATGTTGGTGTATTGGTTAACGCGTCTGGCTTTCCCCCAAAGGGGGGCCGGGTTCGATACCTGAAGGGGATTTTTTAATTAAACTGTCTCGAGTTTAATCAAGTGTCCTATGGTTAATTTAATTTAACCAAAAAAAATTTTTTTTTAATTATTTTACTAACCAAAAAATTAATTTTAAGTAAAGAAAAAGGGCTAATTTTCCCGTTAAAAGGTTTGTTTCCTCAAAAATTGCTAAAAAAAGGAATGATTAATTTAAATAGAATTTTTAAGAGAAAAGAACATTTATTAGTATAACATTTATTTTTTTAAGCAAAAAAGATGACTGATTTTGTGATTAAAGAGTCAAGAAAATTTATATAAAATAAATAAATTATTTTTTACACCCTTATACTTTCCGCTCTGCCAGGTTTAAATAATTAGGGAAAGGGCGAGAAATTGAAAAAAGAAGAGAAAAACAAACGAGAATAATATTTAAAAAGGGAACAGAATAAATAAAGGTTTAGGTTAAATTATACATATTTCAGAAGAAGAGAAAAATTCTGAAAAGTTAATTCTGATTTTTAAAAAATAATTCTGAAAATTTAATTCTGATTTTTAAAAAATCAGAATTCTGATTTTAAAATTCTGATTTTTAAAAATTAATTCCGAAACTTTAAATGAAATAATTCTGATTTTGAAAATTAATTCTGATTCTGAAATTTAATTCTGATTATTATAAAATCAGAATTCTGATTTAAATTTTAATTTAAAATTCTGATTTTGAAGATTAATTCTGATTCTGCAAAAAAATTCTGAAATTAATTCTTAAGTCCTAATTCTGATTTTTAAAAATTCTGATTTTTATGTTTAAATTCTGATTTAAAAAAATAATTCTGATCTTTAAAGAAGAAAATAAACTTTAAATGAAGAATAAACTCAAAGAATACAAAAACGCAAATAAGTTTGAAATAAAATGAATAAAATCAGAATTACAAAAATAAACCATAATTTAAATCAGAAAAATAAATCATAATTTTTTAAAATAAATTTAAAACTGAAAATAAAAATAAAATTTAATTCTGATTAAATAAAACTTTAAATATGTATAATCAGAATTAATTAAATACTCCAGAATTAAATATTCTGATATTTACCATATTTACCATTTAATGAAAAATTTAAAAAATTTTTGAATTTTTAAATTAAAAAAATTTTTTTCTGATTTTTTACCTTTAGAGGAACAAAAAGCAGTAATAAATTCTGAAAATTAAAATAATTCTGATTTTATTATTTCAGGTTTTATTAAATAAATTCAAGTTTATTTTTATATAAATTAAATCAGAACAAATAATTCTGATTCAAGTTTATTTATTTCACAATTTTAAAATAAACTTGGAAATAAATAAACTTTAATTATAATTCCAAGTTTATTTATTTTTAATTCTGATTCAAGTTTTAAAGTTTCATTTAAAGTTTAAAAAAAATTCTGAAATAAAATTCTGACCAATTTTTAAATAATAATAATTATTCTGGTTTCAAGTTTATTTTTTTTAATATTCTGAGAAAGTTTATTTTTAAAAAAAGTTTATTTATTCTGATTTTATTTATTCAAGTTTATTTAATTCTGATTTCAAGTTTATTTAATAGAACTTTTTTAAAGGGAGAAATAAACTGTAATATTTTCATCGTTTAGCACTGAAACGTCTTTTAAGTTTTAAGCGTCGCGTAGGGGTCAGTTAAGTCTAGCAAGTTGAAGGCAAGCATCTTTGATTGGCCATAACTTTTTTATGCATTATCCGTTTAGAATGAGTCATACATCATTTTAAAGTTCTCGATGAGTACAATAATTTCTCCAACTAGATAGATCAAGTCCGATAACTTATCAGAAAGTTATGAGCCAATAAGTGTGAAAAACACCAAATTATTGCACTTAATGAGTTGTAACTTTTTAAGGAGTGATCAGATTTGATCTTTAAATTGAAAAAAAAGATAGCGCTAATCGAGAGCTTTCGAATGATATAAAAACCGCTTGAATTGGAGCAAGTTTTAAAAAAGTTCTGGTTGATTAAAGATGACTGACTCTCAATGGCCGTACTCAACTGGTCCGTTCTTTGAAAACGAGGAAATTTTGAAATAAAAGAAAGACAGTATAAAAGGGAGAAAGCGGAGAGTTTTTAATCCTTAGAAACATCTTTTTAAATTGTTTTAGGGTTGTCGGGTTGTATAGAAATTTTTTGGATGACTTAACCCTAGCAGAAAATTCCCAACTTGAAAACCGACAACCCTAGAAAAAAACTTTAAATAATTTATAGCCGTAATGAGTAACAAACAATTAAAAAACAAAAAGGCTTTGGAGGAGATTACATTTATTGTTCTTCAAAACAAAACGAAACTCAACTTGGGAATGGAATTATTTAAATGTTCTGGTACTCGAGAATTGTCAGATGAGGCAAACTTGAATATGGTATTTTTTTTTAAAAGGTAATAGTGAACCGGACAGACCCCCTTATTTTCTTCTCACCTTTTTCCTCCACAAGTTACCTGTTTTTGCCATGTCCTTGTATAAAATTAAATAATCCTTTTTGTTTGATTGGGCAATTTGGATGGAAGAAAGGGGAAAAGTCTGACTATTTTTCAAAATATAGGAGGAAAATTGGGGAGGAAAAAAAGGGGTCTGTCCGGTTCACTATTACCTTTTAAGTTTATAATTTAAATTTAATAATTTGTAGGTGTCGAATTCCTTGATTGTTAAAAAGTTTTCTGAAAATTTTTCGGCTAATAAAAAACGCATTTTGTTCGTTATTGTAGTTGATAAACATGATGGAACATTAAAGGTTAAAAATTCTTTTTTTTTGTTTTTAACAAAAACTTTTGGGTACTCTTCCGTTATGCTCAATATATAGGGCAATAGAAGTATTTCTCTCGGTCCTCAGGGATCTCCGTAAAAAAGAGTGGTATCGTTCGACAGCACCTTATATTACCCTATATATGACATTTTGAGCATTAATTTAGGGTGGCAGAACGGAAAAGTACCCACCTTTTTACCTAAAAAACCTTTAGGGTTTAATTAGTGTCGTGATGCGTCGTAAATTAAGAATTGGCTTAAACAAATTGAATTTCAAGAAAAGTGCAGCAAAATCAGCACACATTTTCAACGTTTTTAAAACACGAATTTTCAAAATTTTGGGAAATTTTATTGAACTGGATGAACGTTTTTTGAGTGATGTTTTCTTTGGAAATTTTGCTTCTAGTAGACATTCTTCATCTCTCCATTTCCCTGTGGCATACTCCTTTATTATATTCAAATTAAATTGTTAATCCTTTGGCGGCCTGGGTGACATGGGGTAAAAATTACCTCATATTTTTACGAATGAACTCCCCAATTTAACATAGGAAATGAATTTCTATAAGAAAAATGCAAGGAAGACTGTTTGACAACTATTTAACTTTTGGTGAACAATTAGGGGAGGGCAAGACTCGGAAAATACCCAAAGTGTTTTAGTGTGGGGAGCAGACCTGGGCGAAACTCCAATTTTTTTTTGGACGAAACGAAACGAAACAAAAATTTTTAAAAATCGTTTCGTTAACAAAACGAAACAGTAAAAATTTAACGAAACGAAACGAAACAAAACGAAACATTTTAATTTCGAAAAAAATCTCAAAAATCTGGATTATTTTATTAATTATTCAATTTTAAACATGTTAATTGGCCATTAATGACATTTATGCCATCATATAATTATGTGGGACCACAAATTGTGGTCCCATTAGCCATGGGGCACCAATTTGTGATCCCAATTTGTGTTTAGCCATTGCAAATCATTTTAAATGTTCATTTTTCTCTTAATTTCACCTAATTCCCTATATCGCCATCAGGCCCATAGCCAGGATTTTTTTGTGGGGATAAAGGGAGGAAAATTTACTGCACCAAATTTTCGGCGCCGCTGAAAATTATGATTTTCAGCGGCGCAGGCGAAAATTTTGAAAATTTTAGAAGGCTGTAGACCAAAAAATTCCTTTTTTCTGCGCCGTAGGCGAAAATTTTTTTAAATTTGAAGGCTAATAGGCCAGATTTCTTCTTTTTTCAGATAAGGTAAAAAGGGCAAATGCCTCCCAAATGAGCATGGTACAAACTGAAACAGGGTGGTATGTACACTTGCCTCGATATCTCTTCCTACAAAATCCCTCGATATTACTATTAATACCCCAATTTCTCCGATATCCCCATTAAGCATAAAAATGGGGATATCGGTGTATAAAACATAGTCGAGTATAGAACATAATATGAAGAATTTTCGAACAAAAACATATTGTCAATTG